CTCCTACTTTTCAGGGGACATGAATGTGTTTGGAGAATGGATGAAAGGTTATTAGCATTAAATTAGACTTAGCTGACTAAATATTTTAAGATTCTGGATGTTGATATATTTCCAAATGGATGCCATTTAGTATACTCATTGAAATAATTTTTAAACACAAGAATTCTAAAACATCCACAAAAAATGACTATAGTGACGACACACTCAAACTTATGGGTCTGTAAGTAATACATCTTAATGAAAAGCTTTGCAAATATGAAATTTGGAAACATGATTGATCGCATGGATTGTTCTTAATAAGTATCTGCACTCCATCCCAGGGCAGTTTTTGCTAATCCAGATTCTGGATTGGGTTCTCCGTGGGGCTGCTCAAGTTATGTTTGTCAACAATCCACTCAGTGGACTGATTATATTTGGGGGCCTGATTTTACAAAATCGGTGGTGGGCACTCAACGGCTTTGTGGGCACCCTGTTTGCTACAATTTCTGCACTTATTCTCAGGCAAAACAGGTAATCTCATGTTCCTCAATACTTCCTTGTACATGGAGTGTGAAACATGCATTTAATCAGTCAGTTGGCAAGTTGTTTTATAGATTAAGTAATTATACACTTTATAAACACTTTAATGAGTGAGTTGATACAAGTATTAGTGACACATTTCATTCTGGCTGTTTTTATTCTGCATGGTCTATTGTACTAATGGTTAATTATACTTCCTTGACTGAAATACCCCAGTCTGCTCCTGGAAAAAGCTGATATCTGCCATACGGTCCTGTGATTCACAACGTTTGTTCTTATTTATACACCTTGAATCACAGAGCACCATGCAGAGACACAAGCATTAATTGCAGGAGGCAACTGAATCCAGCTGGGATACCCTCATTGCTTTTAAAGGGAATTTTACAAAGACTTTGATAACTGTTTATGTTATTGCACACTTTTTTGCTGAGATAGGGATCGACATTCAACAACGATACATTTTTTTTTTAGTGATCAATGGTCACATTGCACAACAACAAAATGTGTCCTCTGCATTTAACCCATATGTGACATATCAGGGGGCAGCTAGTTCAGTGTCCAGGGAGCAGTACCTTGCTCAGGGTACCTCAGTGGTACCTTGCTGGTCAGGGATTCAAACCTGCAATCTTTCAACTACAAGTGCACTTCCCTAACCATCAAGTCACTACTGCCACCAATTCCTTCATGTAAGAAGGATAAATAGCAGAAATTTATGAGGGGTATAAAAAATGTTCTAAATAATGTTAAAATCCACTCTATGGAAAGGTAAATACGACAATGTTCCATAAATGAATGGTCCTTTTGTTTAAATGCACTTGAAACAAAGCTGGGCCTTATTACTTTGTCGGATGATAGTGTGATCTCGGCTAATTCTGTATGTTTGCTTGTTTGTTTCTGTATAGTTTGCAAAAAGCATTTTAGTTTATTTTCCACTTCAAGGAAAGCAGTAATCTTTGAATATGTACAGTATATTTTGCTAAGGTTAGGCTAATGTTACTAATGTAACAATGTTTTTCAAACCTAATTTAGAGGGGCAATAGCTGCAGGTTTGTATGGCTACAATGGAATCCTAGTCGGCCTCCTAATGGCTGTGTTCTCCGACAAGGGTGACTGGTATTGGTGGCTTCTTCTTCCAAACATCTTCATGTCCATGGCTTGGTGAGCAATCTTCTTTTTATATTAATGTGTAAAAATTCTTTTATTGGGTAAAATTTGCAGTAGCAGAAATGAGAATGTGTATACAGTATGTCTATTTCCTCTGGATTGCAAAAATTTCAGGAAAAAAAACTTAGATTTAAAAAAAATGGAATCATGATGTAAATGTGAGAATTTTGGGGTAATACTAAAATTCTGAAGTTGCCTTCTTTTCAAAAAATTCTGAAGGTAATCATACTCAGTCCCAGGTGCTTATGCTGTTTCCTATTTCTTTATTCTTTGCATTTTCCAGCCCAATTGTTTCAAGTGCCCTTGCGTCTATCAACAGTAGATGGGACCTTCCTGTATTTACTCTGCCCTTCAACATCCTCGTCTGTTTGCACATGGTAGCCACAGGCCACTACAACAACTACTTCCCCCAAGTTCTAATCCAGCCAACAACCTCCCTCCCTAACCTCACCTGGTCCGAGGTGGATGTGTCTCGTGTGAGTGATGGCTTATGTTGAATCATAATGTTGCCAGCACTGATGCTTGTTATCTTTTGAAGGTACCTGCAAAAGGTATATCTCACTCCAAATGATAACCAGTTGTCACATGGTTATATTGAGACTGCCACAAGCAGAACTCCCCTTGTTATTCAGTACAAGATGCCAGTACTCCCCTTGTTATTCAGTACCAGATGCCAGTACTCCCCTTGTTATTCAGTACAAGATGCCAGTACTCCCCTTGTTATTCAGTACCAGATGCCAGTACTCCCCTTGTTATTCAGTACCAGATGCCAGTACTCCCCTTGTTATTCAGTACCTGATGCCAGTACTCCCCTATTATTCAATACTAAATGCCAGTACTCCTCTTATAATTAAGTACTAGATGCCAGCAAAATAGTTTGACAAATTTTAAATTGAGCTAGTCGGAAACAAAAAAATTTGACAACTTTAAAATTCTACAACAACGCTTCAGCTAGTTTTCAAACACACACACACAAATAGACCACTATTGCTCTGCATAGAGAAATACGCATATACGCAGCACGCACCTCAGTCTGATCGCTTATCATTGAGAACGCTTATTATGAATGAGCATAGTGAGAGGTTGCAGAGGTGCCACTAAAAGCTGGCTATTGCTAATCACTGGAAGTTTCTCAAACGATGGATGTCAGTAAGAGACCAAGTGGGGCTGAGAAAGTCAGACTGCTTGAACAGTTCAGTATGCTATTTTTGAAATTTATTTTCTTCTTGAAATGTATGTAATACATTTCTTGGAATACTTGAACATTTTCTTGGAATACTTGAACTGTGATATTATTTACCAAAATTCCCCCAGAAGGGTGGTCTTGGGCATAAAGTTGAAAATTAGTCCAGCTCTGACAGAATTCCACCAGAAATATATGAAAAACTAGAAGAAATAATATAAATGCTGATAAACAGATAATGGATCATAATGTGGGCAAATGTAGGGAGAGCACTAAAATCATCTTTAACAACAGGATATAGATCTTAAACTGCATCAAAGCATTTTCAGTTGTTGTGCATTCTCTCATTCCTGCTTAGCTTTTCCGCGCAATCCCAGTTGGAATTGGTCAAGTTTATGGGTGTGACAACCCCTGGACTGGAGGAATTTTCATCATCTCTCTGTTTATTTCCTCTCCAATTACTTGTCTGCATGCAACCATCGGTTCTGCTGTTGGCATGGTGTCGGGTAAGAGCGTAATAACACAAGTTACTATTTATACTGCTAGCAAAATTAAACTTAATGGAATTGCATTTTGTTTATTATGGAGTATATTTCTTCAGCTCAGACAATTTACTCCAGTGGTTAATGATGAGTGGTTTCCAAAATCATGAAAAATATTATGCTTGTGTGTTTTGTTCTACTTCTTAATTGGGATTGTTCTTGCTAAACGGTTGCATAAATCACCCAGGTCTAGCTCTTGCTGCCCCATTTGAGAACATTTACTTCGGTTTGTGGGGATATAACTGTGTACTGGCCTGCATTGCGATTGGAGGAATGTTCTACGCACTAACGTGGCAAGTTCACCTCCTGGCCGTGGCCTGTGGTAAGTGCTCTTAGCCCATTTTAATTGTGATGTTTTTCCTTGATGACAAAATGAAGTTTTAGTTGTTTAGCTAAAATGATTGAATATGCACATTTGCTTCACCTAAGTTCACTCTTTTTATTTTCACAGCCTTTTTCTGTGCATATCTAAGCTCTGCTATCGCCAATGTGATGGCCATTGTAAGTAACATGGTGAAATAGGATTATGTCTTCTCTCCACAATAGTAGTGCTGCATTTTCACATTTTGCCATGTGAAACTGCAACATAACAATCTAAAGTAGAAATGTAACATTGGAGTTTGTGAGTCACAATGATTCAATGGTTGTCTTTCCAGTTTGGACTCCCAGCTTGCACTTGGCCATTCTGCCTCTCTGCGCTCACCTTCCTGCTGATAACCACGGAAACCAAAACAATACACAAATTGCCTCTTGCCAAGGTGACGTACCCAGAGAAAAACTTATGCTACTTCTTGAAGATGAAAAAGACAGAGAAAGATGAACGACTCCAAAGAGAGGCAGAGGAGGCCAAAGCACGTGTTCCAATCTGAAAATGATGAAAATGTTAAGAATGCTAAAAATGGAAAAAACTGAAGAAACCTTTAAAGACATAAGAATTGATATGAACCAATCAGTCATAACATTTAACCCAGCTGCCTAATATTGAATTGGTCCTCCTTGTGCCGCCAAAACAATTCTAACCTGTCAAGTCATGGACTCCACAATAACTCTAAAGGTGTCCTGTAGCATCTGGCACAAAGACATTAGCAGCAGATCCTTTAAATCCTCTAAGCTGTAACTGGGACCTCCATAGATAGGACTTGCTTGTCCAGCACATCGCACAGATGCTCAATCAGATTGAGATCTGGGGAATTTGGAGGTCAAGTCAGCACCTTGAACTCTTTTTCATGTCCTTCAAACCATGCCTGAGCAATTTTTGCAGTGTCACAGGGTACATTCCTGCTGAGAGAGGCTACTGCCTTTGAGGAATACCATTGTCACAATGGGCTGTACTTGGTCTGCAACAATGTTTTGGTAAATGGT